TAGCCTTCAGAATTGTGAAACAATAAATTTACCCAGGTTCTGGTACTTTGTTATGGCCACCTTAGCAAACTAATACATATAGCCTGCTAATACCAATAACCTCCATCTCTAGAAGCTGAGGGCATTTGGAAGAGTGAGCAAAAAGGCCACAAATGGGAAACATGAAGCCAAGAAGATCCAAAAGACAAGAGAAGAGCAGAGTTCAAAAACCAAAAAGAAAGTGTTTCCTAATGAAACACTAATCCCAAAGAGCCAAGCAAAGAGCCAAAAAGTTAGTAAAAGACTCAATGACTAGACTGAAGAGAACAAGACTTTCTATTCTCAGCTCAAATGTCACCCTTCAGAGAGTGACCGATTCATCTAAAGTAGCTCCCCTCTCACCTCTGCTCAGTCTCTATCCCATTGCCTGACTTATTTACATCAGTTGCCGCTCCTGTAACTATTTTTGTATTCATTTATCATGCGTTTATTGTATGCCGTTTCCTAGAAAGTAAGCCCCCATCTGTCTTACCAGAGTGGAGAGCAGTGCCTGGCATCTCTGCAGGCATCAGGTGTTTCGCACCTGGCATTAGGTGTTTTGCACGTTTCTCATGGACAAATGAAGTAGACTTGAAAATCAAAGGGAAATCAGAACATGGAGATATTATATTCCTTGAGACACCAGAGAGTTGACGGGGCCTGGACAGCCTTGCCCGTGGGTGCAGGGAAGCTGGAATGACTGCAGGCCCCTTCAGTGACAGTCAGGGCATAAGGAATCAGTGCTGACTCCTACCTGCCTGAATATGATGGAGAGTGACCGAACTTGACACCCAAATTATGCACAATTCACCCAAGAGATTCTGCCCACTTGCTGCAGGACTTACTTCCGGCCATACAAGAAAAGAATTTTGGCAACTTAGGGGCTTCTTAAAAAATACACTACTCAAAATAACAGACTATCCAATGTGATTTCTAGGGGAATCAGGAGCTCCTTAAATTGAAAATTCTGCTCCATTAACTTCCTGAAAGGTGAAGGTGGGTAGCTCCTGAAGGGTCTTGTGAATGAGGTAATCTGCGATACAGGATGGCTCCTGGGGAAGAAATCTTTCAAGAGTTCTAGAGGAAGGTTATTTGGAGGGATTTGTATTTAATGGATGACAAGTTAATATGTCATCAGTGTCTGTGGTTGTGGTAGGACTGCTAAAAGGAATGACAAATGTTCTATATGCAACTTTGTATTTTAATACATTAACGCGTCTGTTAAACAGGACTTTTTTAAATCTCATGAAACTAAAAGAACCCCCCAGAGGATTCCTCTTTGTGACATTCAGCTCCTTTCTCTAGAACTTTTCAGCTGACGTTTTCTTTGCTTTTTAGTGGACTTTTGCGTTCGTGTTTTCCAGGAAGAAAACAGAATTCTCTAGTGAAAATCTGTTCAGTGCATTTGCTAAACCAAAAAAATGATCGCAATCCTGTGTTCAGAAGAATCGACTGATGTGTGTGACCTGGACCCCAAATCATGAACTGATAAGCTGACATAATCCTCTCCTCACCACTAGAACCTGTTCTTTATATCATAATACTATCTCCCTGTGTAACAACATTTCCCTCAGAAACTCAAAGGATCGGTGATGATCGTTAACACGTATAATGTGTTTGGAAATAATGTAGATTTTATTTTTGTCCTTATTTTAGCTTAAGGCTACCGAGGCCCAGAAAGCCTCACAGCAAGGATTGCTCAAGGAGTAAAATGTGGACATCTGGCCCATCACTAACTACTTCAATCAACATACATAAAATCATGCTTTAGAGTTAAATGCAGCATGCTACTACTCTCTCTTACCTTTCCTTATATTGCTATCTGTTCCAGAGGTATATTTTTGTGTTCGTTTGGCCACCGGAGACGTGTGTTTTCTTGTAAGCAAAAAGGATGTTTTTTAACACCCCTCGCTGTAGGTGCACGTTATCCTTGGCTGCCCTTCAGATCCTAGGCTGGTTCTTTTGCCCATTTCCAATCCTGTTTTTATTGGTGATAATTTGCATTTACTGGTGACCAAGATGTAACTAATGCTGTGCTTACTTTTGTTCCCATGTCTGAAAAAAAGTCAGTAGTAAGAGCAATTCTTGCAGTGTGTGAGTATGAGCACATGTGTGTGTTTGAGGACATCAGAGAAAGGGGAAAGCAAAGTGTGTCTGAGCCTCTTCCACAGTAGCCACTCTCTCTCCCTGCCCCCAGCTTTAATGTACTCTTTGCAAGACATCAGTTTTTGGTGATCGAGGATCTTCACAGAATCGGTGTCATGCAGTGTGTAACAAACCATAATGAACTAGGCAAAAATTCCAGCTGCGGACATACATCTAAGAAAACAAATGCGCAGATTGCTGGAAAAATAGCAGCATGAGATGCTCCCTGCCACCCTGCATTTTCCTGTGCAAGATTTTGCCTGTTGTCCTAACAGGCCTTTCGAAGCTCGAGATGACTACTCAATTATTCATTCACTAGCTGTGTGATCTTGAGTAAGCTACTTAATATCTCTGAGTTTCCATTCTCTCAACTGTAAAATGGAGGCAATAACTCTCTTGTAACATCATAAGGAATTAAGCTCCATACAATACAGGCCATGGAGTGCACAGCACGTAGCCTGATGCCTGGTGTACTACATTTATTTTGTTTTGTTTTGTTATTTAAGTTATTTAAGTTTATTTATTTATTTTGAGAGAGAGAGAATCGTAAACAGCCTTAGCCTGGAGCCAGATGCAGGGCTCAATCCCATGACCGTGGGATCATGACCTGAGCCAAAATCAAGAGTCAGATGCTCAACAGACTGAGCCACCCAGGTGCCCCTTTATCCCTCTGTTTTAATCATTTACATGAAGTCTTTCCTCCTGGAATATGAGTTCCGTGAGGAGGAGTACGGGTTCTATTTCTGTTTTCCCAATGCTTCACATGCACCCATGTGATTAGTGGCTCGAGAAAAGAACTTGAGAGGAACCTCTTCCAGTGACTATTTTTGGTATACCAGCTTAGTGATAGGTGACTCACACTTTAGTAGGAAAGTATGGAAAGTGACAAGGGCTGTATGATGATCACGGTAGGCTTGTAAGAATCAGATACTAAGCCCTGGAATAATGAGGGAGGAAGTTTGGTTGTGATTACCATCTTGAGACTCACTCATATCCCTTTGGCATTCAAATGGAGTCCATGTCTGTATATTCCAAGTTGAGAAACCCTTCTCTATACTCTACTGCTGGTTTCTCTTCCTTCTTTTTGCTTACTGTTTAAAGTATCAAAGCTTGCTGCACATCACATCCCTTTTATCAGCTCTGGTGCACCTTAGAGTGGACATTTCCTTCAGGAGCCAAGAATACTGGAGCTTATATTTAGAGAGTACTTATTACGGGTTGGATGAAGGTGTGATTATGCCTGGAGTCATGCTACTTGACACCATTCTCATATTCACCATATTCATTTAGTTAGAATGGTAACCACCCTGAGTTATTGCTGGTCTCATATGGATCATATATTCACAGTCAGCCCTTGGCTTTGACAAGATGATGTGTATTATCTCTGCTATTGCCCATCACTTCTTTTCATTGCATTATGAATATTGTGCATGGAAGCATGATTTTCCATCTATAATCACAGTTGAGTCCTTTCAACACAGTCTGTATGTTTAAGTGCATAGTTTTCTTCAAAGCAGACTTTGTTGAAATTGATATCCATTATCTGCTATCTTCGTCTTCCAGGGATACCATGTTTTGCTCTAACTGGGAAGGAAGAGACAGTTTTTATTAACATGAATAGACTTTGTAGCCTGGCATGTATTGTTTTACTGGTGTGATAGCAACTCAGGTTCTAGAAAGGAGTAGCATTCTGAAGGACAACTTTTTAATTTGAACACCAATTAAAGTGTTGTGTCCATCTTCATTGGATTTGTGGCCCTAAGCGCAATTGTGTCTCTCATTATACTCCTGCTATGTTTACTGACAAGTGTAACCACAGAAAAAGAATTGAAAGGGGCCAACGTAATTTCATCAAGGGAACATCAGGGTGAATTGTTGAAAACCACAAAAAGTGATACCATTTAGATCAACTACAAAATGCATGCTGCCAGCTGTCTGAAAGGACACTTGGGTGATGGTGTCCATGCCTGAAGAAAAGGCTCTTCTTCATAGGATGCCTCCTAGAAAACTGATAATAAGGGACTATCATTTGTGAAAGCCAAAGTTAGGGAAAAGTGAGGAAAAGTAAAGAATTACTTGTGAGTCAGAGCCTAGAGAGACCATTTTAGCAGAGATTTTCCAGTGGCGATGGGCACATTTTCAAACACAGGGCTAGAGAAAGCAAAGAGATGTTGAGAACTGATTATTTCATCAGAATTAAGTGAACGAAAGCTCAGACTTGGAAACGTGGAAAAGAGATACAAGGCCCTATGTGAGACTCTCCTGCTTGAAAGAAGCCTTTAGTGTCCGAAGGTATTTAACAGCAAAGAAGTCCTCTTGTGACGAGGGAAAACTCGTTTTAATTACTAATGTTCAGTTTACTTCATATTCTTCTAGAGTTTATAATCTAATATTTATTAATTGGGTATAAATATACATAAATAATTTCTATCAAGGGGAGAAAAAGGAGGCTGGTTGTGTTAGGGAGTTTTCAGTAGTGGTGGAAATGAATGATTATGTTTTTTATTTTAGTCACCATGGGTAATTCTAACACCCTTATTCTGTTTATGTGGGGATGTAAAGTAACTGAATAAATCTTAATGAAAACTGTGTTTTATTGATTTTGCAGAGTTAAGAGGAAGACTTGGGAGGGATGGAACCTTCCAACAAGTTTGGAAGAAAGTAGAGGGAATGCACAGATGCCAGACTCCCACGAAGACCCATGGACAATCCCGCACTCACGCTTCTCTATCGAACTTTAAGATTTATTAGTAATATGCTGCCTTTGCAAGATGAAAAGAAACTAATGCCAAGAAGGCATATTCTTCAATATTTGGAATAGACGTGCTCTCAAGACAATGGCTTCAAAGGTGTCCTGTCTATATGTTTTGACAGTCGTGTGCTGGGCCAGTGCCCTCTGGTATCTGAGTATAACTCGTCCCACTTCTTCCTACACTGGCTCCAAGCCATTCAGCCACCTAACAGTCGCCAGGAAAAACTTCACCTTTGGCAACATAAGAACTCGACCTATAAACCCACATTCTTTTGAATTTCTTATAAATGAACCCACCAAATGTGAAAAGAACATTCCTTTCCTTGTTATCCTCATCAGCACCACCCACAAAGAATTCGATGCCCGCCAGGCAATCCGAGAGACGTGGGGTGATGAGAACAACTTCAAAGGGATCAAGATAGCCACTCTCTTCCTCCTGGGCAAGAACGCTGATCCTGTTCTGAATCAGATGGTGGAGCAAGAGAGCCAAATCTTCCACGACATTATTGTGGAGGACTTCATTGACTCCTACCATAACCTTACCCTTAAGACATTAATGGGAATGAGATGGGTGGCCACTTTTTGTTCAAAAGCCAAGTATGTCATGAAAACAGACAGTGACATTTTTGTAAACATGGACAACCTTATTTATAAACTACTAAAACCCTCCACCAAGCCAAGGAGAAGGTATTTTACTGGCTATGTCATCAATGGAGGACCAATCCGGGACGTCCGCAGTAAGTGGTATATGCCCAGGGATTTGTACCCTGACAGTAACTACCCACCGTTCTGTTCGGGGACTGGCTATATCTTTTCAGCTGATGTGGCTGAACTCATTTATAAGACTTCACTCCACACAAGGCTTCTTCACCTTGAAGATGTATATGTGGGACTGTGTCTTCGAAAACTGGGCATACATCCTTTCCAGAACAGTGGCTTCAATCACTGGAAAATGGCCTATAGTTTGTGTAGGTATCGCCGAGTTATCACCGTGCATCAGATCTCTCCGGAAGAAATGCACAGAATCTGGAATGACATGTCAAGCAAGAAACATCTCAGATGTTAGGATTTTTACCAATGTAAATACATTTCTTTTCTTTTTTAAGAAATGGGGCCTAAGGTGTTGGTATTTAACAGGTGTCACCAAGGGAAATGAACTGGCAAAGGGGTTTTGTAAAAAGGGTTTTCTTCCCACTCCTACTTTCTTTCTTGGATTACCAATTTACAAATGTCAGGCTCTGGTCATAGAAACAATACACGAGTTTGAAGGGCCAGATTTCATTCTCAGGTCCTAAGGCATTGCATTTATCTGAAAAAGCAACTTCCTGAAAACTGCTAGGATTTACATACTCAGATACTGTGCATCTGAGATAAAAATCTGGTTTTGGGAAACTGAAACTCATGGTAATGTCTTCATATCAGCTCTGCAAAAATGAATAAGTAAATAGTGCTTTTTCAGAAATAATTCAGAAATAATACGCAGTCAGGAAGACACGCTCGATGTGATTATTAACATTGTGTGTGCTGTTATATTGAATTTTTACATATATTGCCATGGGACATGTACAGAGTTTGCCATTCCAGCAAGAAATGAACTTAGGCCTGGCAGGAAGGCTGCAGTTAAATAAATGGAAATCTAAACTTGAAAATCAAATATCCTGTATGTTTGGAAGACAACTCTGCCTGCTCATCCAAGGATTAAACCTGGTCATTGGGTGGAATGTATATAAAATGCTACTTAACAAAATAAACAAGAGCTTTTTTTTTTTTTTTTTTTGCCCTTTCAAAACAAACATTACCTGGTGCCTCCAAGGAGATTTTGCCAAATGTAATCTCACCTGCCTGCCTCCATACAGTGTTGCTAAGTGCATTTTACAATTTCTGACAGAGGCAGGCACATGTGTAGAAATAAGTTGGAAGGAGGGCAGAAAAACGATAAATTACATGGAGAAAATACAAATTTATGTCTGCATTAAAATTAACATAAGCAAACTTAGCAATAGTATGAGATGCCACGCCCACACATTTGCAAAGCATGTGAGAGAATCTTTCAATGGGTACCAATGTTATTGGATGATTTAGCTCTGTAGGTGATAGATGTAATACTCTAACATCTGAAACATCCAAGCACCTCCAGCAGCAATGCTGTTGGGAGGCATTCTGGGAGCTCCAAGCTCTGTGATTGAGGTTCACGGGAAGGAAGGGTGGAGAAGCTTGGAATCAGTTCCTGGAATCTTTGCTGGGTCATGTGAGCAGGCGTCTTAACCTTGCTGTGCTTCAGTATGCTCATGTATAAAATGGATGGAAAAAACACCTACCTCACAGGTGCTGTGAGAGCAAATTGCATTTCCTAAGAATCTTGAGATCCTTAGTTTACAAGGTGCTAATGCAATGTGTCATGCGTTATGCCAAATGCTAAAATAATTCATTACAATGATGGTCATTGTAATCAGTAGTAGTAACATCAGCTTAAATGTAAAATCTGCCAAAAGAAAGATTGAATATGAACTGTTCGTGCATCTGGTTCTTCTAAGATTTTTTGACTTTTCCCTGGATATCTTAGGTGTTTGGAGAAGCTTCAATTTCTCTACCATTTCTTCTGGTTTCAATGAACAAGTTTTTACTTCAGTGCATTGCCTTGATTTCCCAGGGTGCTGCAAGTGAAGGCGGATGTGTTTCTTCAGGGAGGAGCCTCTGGCTGGAAGTGTATTACAATAAATGAATCACATGCTTTGCAAAATGTATTATATCCCATCAACTTGGATCTCAGGAAACAGTGATCTGAATTCTCAATAAGAACTTTGAAGAGTGACCGGTAAAGCTAGCCCCCCCTCTATCAGAAGAACAGGCACTCAGCAAACCCCCACATTGCACATCATCTATTCATTAGAAAACTTCTTTTTGTTTGTTTTCATTCAAAGAAAGCCCTGCAACTGAAAGAATATAACTTTTCTTTTAACCTGACCTTTGGAAGCCTCCCCCAGAAGTTGATAGCAAACAAGTAAACACAATGAACAAATGGAAGTCATGGCCTATTTCTTGAAAACACTGGATCTTTTATCCCCAGCCCCAAAGAATGCAATATGAGACAGGCCTTCCTGTCCTTCAATACATCTTCATCAAACAGCTGGACTGCCAAGTTTGATTGGAAAACAGCATTAGGTAGCCTGGGGAGAGATGGATCAGCACAAGGTGAGCCCTCTCTAACCCCCACCCCTCAACTGCTGTGAGTTCCAGTCATTGGAAAAGTCTCATGACTTTGTGCTTGGTTTGCGTTTCAGTCACATAGCTGAATCAAGCCTCTGTCTTATACTACCATTTTGCATTTACCTTATGCTCAGTCAAGCCACCTTCGTGTCAAGGAATTGCACATTATGAACATCGTATATGTACATCTATGAATTGTTTTCTCTGTGTGTGTGTGTGTGTGTGTGTGTATCCACTATAAATAGAGCCCTAATCTTTAAAAGGAGCAAAAATCAGAGAATCATGTCTTAAAGAACTATTTCCTAACTTTTTTATGCTAGGTAGTGCCCATGTGACAAACATGTAAATATTCATCAAAGACCATATGTATATATTTTAAAGGCATTTTTCCCTTCTCCCCTGTATGTATAGCTAGAATCTGCTTGTTATGTACATTTTCTTCTGCATGGAGCTCGGTGAGGCAAAGCCATTTGTCCAGTGTTTCAATAGCTGAAAGCATGATTGCCCTTCATTTTTTGAATGTTCAAAAAACAAAAAAAGTTTAAGTCAAGTGACCATGAAAAAGCTCTAATTTTCTACTTTTCTTAATTTTATGGTGCCGGCCAAATTATGGTTTCAATTATTTAAGCCATTTTTTATCATTTCTCTTACATAAAATAATGTTTCAATGTTGTACCAGGAGTCGTTCAGAGAATTTTTATAAAAACCTTCTGACTGTCCCCCTACCTGTTGTGTTCATTATGCATTGGATAACAAAAGGTATCAATAATTAATGTCTGTATTCTTAAATTTTCCTTTTTAAGTTTGTTTTTGGAAAAAAAAGTTTTATCTTTGCTGGTTAGTTTGCGTGGCTTTGGGTCTTCTTCTATTGAACCAAATGCCAGTTTCAATATATAATATTGTATTTTTAAATAACGGGAATCAAAAAAATGAACATCGTTTTCGATTTGGATTAAAATCAGAAGAACAAAACCCCTTTGTGTGATGATATGGGGGAAACAAACTCTTTACAGAGAAGCTGAGGAAGGAGTTTTTCAGTCAAACCTCTTCTATCAAAAGACAATGGAACATTTACATAAAGCTTCTGGGATTCATTTTCTACCTTTCCTAATATGTGGGTTTAGTGGGGGAATTGATTCTGTCATTTCTTCTGTAAAGGTGAGGATAGTTTTTATAAGCAACAAAGTAACTTGTGAATGAAAGAAGTAATTTACTAGAAACGCTTGTTGATGATAATTGACATTTAGGTATATCGTTATATATGAATGATTGTTTATTTATGTATTTATTTGTCAAAATTGTACATACTATTTCGCCAAACGTACTTGTCTGTAAAAGTGCACTCTCCAGGTTTGTAGTACTATTTAGGGTTACATGGGTTGCCAATCAAGCTGCTAATCAGAATACTATTTTTTGTATCAATGTTATAACACTGAAAAATAGATGTCTTTACATTCAGTTTCTTCACCTTCCTCTTGAAATGTAAACTGTGGATTGAAAGCACGATGCCAATGTATAAGCCCATCTGTCATGAGGAAGATTATGGTTCCGTAAAGCTGATTTTTTTAAACCATTGGGACAAATAAACAGAAGGAGAACATATTTTCCACTGTGCTTCTTTTCTGGAAAAAACCTCTTTGGCGAGATGCGATCATTAAAATTAGCTGATGCCCTGTTGTTTATCATTAACCTTCTCCGCGACCTCAATATAGGTAATAGTTCAAATCATTCAGAGCTCATCCTAAGAGCCTAATGCAGTCAACTTAGAGATGGTTTGGTCCGGAGATTATGGGCTGCCCGAGGATTTAGGAAACTGGGATCTCCCTTGACCCTTGGAGGCCTCAGGAAAGTCTCTTTTAAATTCTGACAGGTTGAACATGTCAACAAATTATAATTCAGAGAGCAGTATATTGATAACATGCTTGGTGAATTAGGACCTATTAAATCAAGATAAAACTGTCATTCTTATGTGTCACCCACATATATCTTTTGGAATATTGCATACTATTTTAAAAGTTTGCTCGTACTGGAAAAATGCTATTCAGGCATTCTTAAGGGCAGACAAGTAGATGCTGATTGCTGATGCCTGACTTTGGAAACAAGAGACTAATAGCTATTTAAGAGACAAAAGTTCCTCTTATTATCAATCCTGAATTCACTTAAATAGGTCTTTACTTTTTAATGGAAATTTAACTGGATTTACTGCCGCTGCACCTCAAGAGTTCAAAAAGTTAAGTCCATCAGGTGAGCTAAAATACAGGCAGCATAAACAATGAAAACGTAAAACATATAGATTTGTATTCGGCGTGACTTTTTTTAAAGGAGCAACATCAAGAGCAATATTGTAAAAGCCTGGTCTTAACCAGGAGCATCAGTACCAAGTGGACTTTGTTAGAAATGCAAATTCTTGGAACTTACCAGAAACCTGGGGGTGTGACTCAGCAATCTATATTAACAAGCCGGTTAGGCCATTCTCAGGCCCATTAATGTTGAGAACGCTGCTCAGGGGCTGGCCGACTACCCTGTGTGAACCACAGCCAGACTGCTGCCAACGCTCTGAGAGTGGTTTCAGGATGAATATTGGCAAAGACTCGATGAGGGGAGATACATTGCACCCCAAACTAAGCAACATGGTTTCCCAATGGTAAGAATTCTACTCTTTTCATTAGTAGATGTGTGTTGCCAAAAATGTACTTAATGATTATTTTATTATATTTTAATTTCATTAGTACAGAAACTGTGGCGATCTGTTTCTTAAGCAAGTTCACAGATATCTTCGATTTTGCCTCTTAGCCGGCATGCTTAAAATACTTGGTCCTTTAACAGGAAGAGTTTGCCAACCTCTGACTTAAAGAAACA